GAAACAACGATTTCGTAAGCAAAGTATATTTCTATTTTATGTTTTCTCATTCGCACATACGAAAACTTTTGTACGTAGTAGAGTCACACTGCAGCTATATTAGTGGCATAGTTGTAGTACGAATGGGTCGGCTCGACCGGGGAAGGACCACGCTCTCGCAGAATACCAGCGTAAAATAGCAGCTTATGCTGCTGTGTTTTGTATGGTGAGTGTAGATAACCGGAGACCCTTTTTACTGCAAAAGAGGCATTCCATCTTAGTCCTCACGGATGACAACGCATCTGCATTTCGATTCTTTAATGAGGACAGATGTAGATGTCTATGGGTCACAGCAACCACTTACTATCAGGTGGACTGCGTGCTCGTTAGTCACGCGAAGTTGCGGGTATCAGCTAGTTTTTCAATACATAGTTGATTAGATAATTTTTATATGTATAATCAAAAATTTCAGTGATAAACAAAATTTTATTGCCTTGCATAAGACTGAAATCTATAGTAACAAAATTTAAAAAAGTTACGCAGTTAATACATTGCGTATGTACAGATAACTATCAATCAAAAAATATCATAATATAAGAGTTTAAAAACACTTAAGCATCACACATTGGTCATAAGCTGTGATGATCCTGATAATTATTTGATTTTATCCTGGTGATCCTGATCAGGATACGAGAATAAAGTTATTAAATTATTGTGCAAGTTTTCTAGTCAATTGGCGGTCTACAAGTTGGTGAAAATTACATTAAAAGATTCCGTTACATAGATAAATAGATAGATAGATACACGCGAAATTAATAAAATCAAGTTAAAAATGGCATGAATTTATCTGTACTTAAACCCGCCTAGTCGTGACTTTAATATTTATTTTACTCCAATTTTCATAATTGTTTTCATTACGATGGTAAAAAATATGCTTAGTTCTTTATTACGTCCCGCTTCCTGACAAATCCCACTTTTTTACTTAAAAAGTTTCCCAATCTCGATTTGCACTAAAACATATGGTGTTAATGAGCACTCATTATATATACTTATATACATATACATACATACATATATATATAATTGTGCGAAAAGAGCGGATGTAAAAAGTCGGGAATATATATATATATATATTATATATATATATTCATAGTCTTGATTTTTTTTTAATAGAATAAGGGAGACAAACGAATACATATTCTACCTGATCGTAAGTGGTTGTTATAGACCATAGACATCAACATTTATCCTCAATTAAGAATCAAAATGCACATGTATTATTTATCACCCCTGAGGACTAAGATGGAATGTCTCCTTTCCAGTAAAAAGGGTCCCCGGTTCGGTCGCGCCGTCCTATTCGGGCTACAACCATAATAAAGCTGCAACGTGGCTCTACCACAAACGATTGACCTGATATTCAGTTATCATCAGGTGGAATGCGCATTAATTAATTACTTGTACTATGCGCATTAGTTAATAATGACTATTTTGTTAGATGTTTTATAAATAAATAATAATTTAAAATTTTGTACAACCGACTTCAATATAAATTATTAATAATAACTCAAAAACTATTGTTCAGACCTTAATCAAATTTATATGGGCCTACATGTGAAGTACCAGCTTTCAAAGAAAAAAAGAATCATCGAAATTGGTTCACCCAGTAAAAAGTTATGAGGTAACACACATAAATAAACATACAGTCGAATTGAGCACCATCTCCTTTTTGCAGTCGGTAGAAAAGGAAATACTACCCACATAGAGAGTAATTGTGTTCTGTGACCCACTTACTAGGGCTGCAGTCATCATATTATAAATACAGCATGCGTCCACCACGCGATGTTAGTTTTCTTTAGAAGTCGGTGGCCTTGAATTCAAAAATATTATGTGGAATTTATTCTTTTTAGTTTTTTAAAATCAGCTTTATTTTTAATTCATTCAACGTTTTGAGTAGTCTAACAAATATCACAAGCATAAAGTAACAACTTGAATATTCGCTAAATAGTTGCATTAAAAACTTTATTCCCAATTAGGATGAAGATTTATATGGGATCACGTCTAAGGTATAAGTTATTGAATAAAGAAAACCATACATTACAATTAAAATGTCTCATACAATAAAAGACATATAGTTGAATTGAGAACTACTCCTTTTTTAAAGTCGGGTAAAATTAAATCTAATTATGAAAGCACCCTGAGCACAGCCACCTTAAAACAAGAAATATAAAACAGCTAAGTTCATAGCACTACAGTGCACACTCCTAAAAATACACCCATACATAAAACCATAATCTCACAAATTTCCCGACTTTTTACATCCGCCCTTTTCGCACAAGGGGTTATTAAAAACAAAACTAAAAACCACAAATAAAGAAATCTCATTCGAGACCCACTCTGTTAGAATTGCAATGGTTACTGCAACAATAAAACATTGGTCCTTCGAGGCGAATCGAATGCGGTATTCAAAATGGACGTCAACGCAAAGCTTCAGATTTCAGACGCATTGTGTTCGATGGCGCGTGCGGAGATCGACCAATCAGAATGCATTGCTTTACTTTAACCCGATAGGTCAGTTTTGTCCACAGAGCGATTGTAATCAATTTCGCGGGCAATTTGTTCCGTCGCGTACGATAAGACGGCGATATTATATCTGTGCAATTACTATGTCGCTACTTAATTGTGCTCGAGATAAAGACTGTCGTTGACACAATAACGCTCTTGGATTACTCTAGTGAAATATTGCCCTTATAATATCAAACATACATTTTTATTTATGTTAATAATATTATATTGGGAAAATATTACAGAGATATTTAAATACGTTACGATATAACATAGTCGTTTTTGTAAAAAAAACGAAGACGTGTATAGTTCGCTAACACGCATTAGAGCAGCGTGGCAGACATTTTCTTGTCCTAAAACGTCTCAGAAATGGGAGCAGGCCTGTGCGCAGCAGTGAGACGTATATAGGCTGTTACTTTTTATGTATATACTGTAGCTTTTAAGACTCTGTGATAACTGTATACTTGTTAAAAAATCAAATACAATTTCAGGATCGTATCTGGCTGGATGGATACTCTTAGATAAAGATATCAAAAAAAAAAGAAATAGAGCTTGACAAGTTACGCCAAGCATTAGAGTAATTAAAAAGAATACTTTAGTAAACTATTTTAATTAGAACTATTCAATGCCCCGAGTTCGAACATAAAGCTATAACGAGCTACTTGTATGGAACGCGTAACATGAATTAAAAACATTATCCCTGTTAGGCCATTTTTCATCCTATGCAATTGTGTTAAGGTTCACTTTGATTGTGTGTATATAACGCTTTAATTTCTCGTACAGTAGCGAATGACCTCTTTCACACACTTTGCGCTCGGTAACACTTAATTCATATTTCATCTAGCAATTATATCTGGCCATTTAAATGCCTCTAGGTAAAATTTAAACCCGTAATTTTAATAGTCTGTTGTTCGGTACATGTGCAACGGTGCTCTCATCGATTACGACTCATTAAAATCTGGATTATAATCGAGTTACATAAAATGTTCAATAGGAAAATTTCGTATTCGCAAGATGAGCAAGTAAAATTAATTGTCAATTAATTATGCTATCCAGTTAATATTTAATGGAAAATTGTAATTACTAAATGATTTTATGTTCTAGTTGTATGTAAGATGATGCAATTTTCCTCAGAATATACTAAAAGTTGGTTGTTGTAAATTGCTTTCCAATCTACAAGTTTTAATAGCATTTTGATACAAATAGGTAATGGAAGTTCAAACATTCTATTTACTTAACAGTCAGAAGTACACCTTCCACAATAACAAATCTTCAGAGTAATATCAGCTAATTCATTACAAATTATAATTATATAGTAGTAAAGATGACAGACAAGCACACAGCCCACCTGAAGGTAATGGAACGATGAGATCGATAGGCGGCACATCTATGTACATCTGTTCTCCATTAAGAATCAAAATGTATTTGCATTGTCTCAGGCTTAATAATTAAGATGGAATGATGCTTTATCAGTAAAAAGGATTCCAATACACATATTGACACTTAAAATAATTAGCAATGGAGATATATTTATGTATTTTTTGTTAGGTAAACTAAAGATTTAATAAATAAAAGAAAAAAGAAGATATTAATTAGCTAAGATCCGCGTAAAAATAAAATAAAAATATGTGTCTAACCTATTTTGAAGAGCATTTCCTGCCTTCCCTCAATTTAGTATACTAATCCTATTACCACTAAACCCAACACTACTGCACTAGGAAAGACACCACCGTCAATAACACAACACGTGTTTCGCCTCTAAATGAGGCATAATCGGGGAAAATAGACTCCACTATGGTTCGACGCATGTGAGCGGCGAGCCAAAGCAATCTTAGCTAAATTAATTTTTAACATTTTTAATGTGATATATTTCCGCCTGATTCTATTAGTGAAGATGATGATGATTTAGTAAAGTAAAAAGTAAAGTTGCAGCCTATTTACGTACGACTGCTGGGCACAGGCCTCCTCTCATTTCTGAGAGGGTTTTAGGGCAAGGAAATGTCCGCCGCGCTGCCTCAAAGCGTGTTGGCGAACTTGACATGTCTTCGAAATATTATATGCATATGCTCATGAATTTTTTTATTTCACTTTATATAATAGATAATTTCACATATAATAATAATAATAATAAAGCTCTTTTATTCCGAACTACATGCAGTTTAACATTTTAGATTTTATAAATTTTATTTCTTATATTATATCACGCTATTCGGCGTGCCTCTTGGCATAGGCCTCCTCCAGCTCTCTCCATTGAGCCCGGTCCTCTGCAACTCTGGTCCACTATGGTCCTAGAGTTAGGCGGATATCGTCAGTCCATCTTGTTTTCGGACGCCCCTGTCTTCTGATGTCTCCTCTTGGATACCATAAGGTTACTTGTTTGCTCCATTTATTTATTTTGCAACGTAGCATATGTCCTGTCCAGCTCCATTTTAGATGGTCTATACGAATTATTATATCTGTTATTTTGTCTTCCTTCTTATTTCCACATTTCGGATTCTGTCACTAAGCCTGATTCCCAACATGCTTCTTTCCATTGCTCTTTCTGTTTTAGCAAGTTTTTCTCTATGTTTGTTCGTTAATGTCCATGTCTCGCAGCCGAATGTCATGCAGGGGAGAATACAAGTGTTGAAAGTCTTTCTCTTGATATGTATTCCTAAATCTTTGTTCTTCATTATTTCTTTCAAGGACCAGTATTTCCTCCAACCGCAGGCTATTCTTTTGTTTATTTCCTTGGACATGGAGTCTTCAGCAGATATAATTTGTCCTAGGTAAACATATTCTTTCACATATTCGAACTTGGTTCCATAGACCTCTATGTTGCTTTCTGTTGAGTTAGTCATTAGTTTTGTTTTATCTGCATTAATTTCTAAACCTACTTCTCTGCTTTTTTCAGCTATGTCTTTTACCATATGTTCTAGTTTCTTAGGATCTTCTTCTAACAGGATAATATCATCTGTAAATCTCAAATGATTGAGGCGAATGAATTTTTTTATTTCACTTTATATAATAGATAATTTCACATATGGTATTCATTAACAAATACCGTCCGACCAGCGCCGGGTATAACATAATGCAGCAAAAGTCGTGCAATTACAGAATCGATCAATTTTTTTTTGCAGAATAAGGAAGACAAACGAGCACACAACCCACATGATGGTAAGTGGGTGCTGTGGACCATAGACATCTACATCTATCCTAGATAAAGGAACAAAATGCAGATGCGTTGTCATCCCTGAGAACTAAGATGGAATGCCTCGCTAACTGTAAAAAGGGTCTCCAGTTCCCTACAATCACTATACGAAACCCAGCAACGTTAAGCTATTTTTCCTCACCGGTATTCTATGAGAGGGTGGACCTTCGAACAGACCCATTCATATTATACCATAACATAGAGTCTATAAAGATAGGAATATTTAGATTTTTACTTTATCTCTACTTTTTTATAAATCTGAAGTAACAAACGAGCTTACAATCTACTTACTAGTAAACGGCTACTGCAGTCCATTTTTTGTGACAAACGAGCACATAGTCCACCTGTTGGTAAGTGGTTGCTGTGGCCCATAGACATCCACGTCTACCCTCGTTTGCGAATAAAAATGCAGATGCGTTGTCACCCGTGAGGACAAGGATGGAATGCCTCGTTTCCAGTAATAAGGGTCTCCGGTTCTCTACACTCACCATACAAAACACAGCAGTGTCAAGTTGCTAATTTACGACTTTACTTTTAGAGCGTGGTCCTTCCCTGGTCGAGCCGACCCATTCGTGCTACAACTTTTAGTAATATAGCCGCAGCATGTTTCTAACACGTAAGAAAAGTCTGTAGGCAACTCTCTCGTTGTCACGTCTGAGGACTAAATTGGAATGCGTTACAGTCTGTAACTATACTGGCTCTCTATACGTTCAGACCGTAACCACTGCTGCAAGAACTGCTATTTGGTGATGAAAATAAGTGAGGATGGGCCTACCTTAAAGGACTCCTACGCAGAAATGAAAACTTACCTCTACCTAGTTAATTAATAAAAAAAAGGAACCTAAAGGAACTCCATCCGCGGCTGGTCGTTGCTGCTGGTGATAAGAGGGCTGGTTCTTTCCTCGCTCAAAGGCTAAGTATAGCCATTCAGCGGGGAAACGCATCCAGCGTTCTTGGCACGATACCGCGGGGAGTAGGACTATATGATAATTAAGTTTCTAGTTTTAGTTTTTTTTTTATTATCATAGTTTTTAATATTGTAGATAAAATTAAGTATTAATGCTAATTATCATTCACTTATACACTTAATAAATTTAACAATTCCAGCAAATAGATTAACGGACCGTTTAAAATGAAAATGAAAATGAAAAATATTTTATTTGACAGTTTTACAAATAATTTAGCAGTGGTTCTCACACTAGGCTCGCAGACCTGTATCGTGAGAGTCAGTTGTATATATATAAATATACGATGTTACTGTCGATAAGTAAGTATTTTTTATACATATAAGTGTGAATATTCTGCCACTTTGTGGTATATATGTTGTAGATATATATGTTGTGGCCTGGCAACACGGGTCTACAAAAATCATGTATAAAAAGAAGATTCGAAAACTTGCGTCAAAAATTGTATATTATAATAAGAATTCAAAACTACCTAATATTCAATTTTAGTTATTTTATCTCCTCAACTCTATGACAATTTTATAAGCACGATTTCAAGTTTAAGAAACACTGGACAAACTTGTTAACTAAAATTTGGGTAATCATTCCATATCCCGTATGGTCTAGTGGCTAGGATACCTGGCTTTCACCCAGGAGGCTCGGGTTCGATTCCCGGTACGGGAATTACTTTTTTAATAATTTAAATTTATGTTGAAAGATCTGCATCATTTACAATTTTATTATTATTTACCTAATATTTGAAAAGAAATGTTTATTTGAATTTTTAATAAGAAAATGAAAAAAATATGTTTCTTTATTTTGTTTCATTTATTTTCAAAACTGGATGACAGTGACAATATTTTAAAAATAAACTCTTCCAAAAATTTTTCTAACATTTTAGGGACTTATTATTTTGAAATATGTAAAATCCAAATAAGAAATATTCTGACACTACATTATCAACAATCGACGTGGGTCAACGACTTCAAGTCACACGTCGTTTTTCAACGCTAATGTGGAATCATGTAGCGGCTATGTTGTGGTCGCCGTGTCGCGTCCGCTAATGAGCTGCGCATGTCGCGGACGGCGTGACGTCACGCGACACGCGCTCAATTACAAGCCGTCCTGCGCGTTACCACCGAGGTGTGTAAGAGCCCTAATCGTCACGACTGTAGACTAGACTGATTAAAATCAGTTACTATCATTGAATTAAACAAATTTTACGTATTTTATCGCGTTGAATTAACTTATTTTAGTTATTGAAGTTATACTTCTTTTGGGGCGCTTCGGAAAAATAATGTAAGTGTATTTTTACGATGCGCACACACACCGACACCATGAAGTTGTTACAATGCGCGCGCACACTGACACCTAAAAGCGACAACTTCAATGGGTAATTGTGTATGAAGTTTTTTGTTTTGTTACGCTAAAGAAGTATAACTTCCTACGTGCGTACATAAGTACACACACACTTTTTTATATTCCCGACATTTTTTTTATAGGATTAAGGTGACAAACGAGCACACAGTCCACCTGATGGTAAGTGGTTGCTGTGGCCCATAGACATCTACATTTATCCTCGCTTACGAATCAAAATGCAGATGCGTTATCACCCGTGAGGACTAAGATGGAATGCCTCGCTTCCAGTAAAAAGGGTCTACGGTTCTCTACACTCACCATACGAAACACAGCATCATTAAGCTGCTATTTTACGCTGGTATTCTGTGAGAGCGTCGTCCTTCCCCGGTCGAGCCGACCCATTCGTGTTACTACTATACCAGAAATATAGCTGTAGCATGGCTCTACCACGTAAAATATTCATTTCGGGTGCTATACCTACATAACAGTTTCTGGCCACTATGTCAAAACTCGGACTATCTTCATAGTATATATATATAATCAGAACGTCAAACACCTCAGTCCCCATAAGTTATTGAATAATAGAAATTAATATTCACAAACTGAAGGTAGCCCCTGCTAACTTAGACATCGGGACATCGAACAAATGGGGAAACTTTGGAATAAAAAAAAGTAAAATAAGTCAAATGACGTACAATAAAATCGATAAAATTTGTTTTATTCGATGTCTAGTGATAGTATTCGTGTAAATATAAGAATAATATTATTGTTTGTCTATGGTAACGGTTAATAACGAAAGTGACAATAAACTATACAAAACGCTCCTGATCGGTGTTAATTATAACTTTATAACTAATAGATATTCAATGCAACGAGATATATATACATATAATAGTCTTTAACATCAGCGAAAAGATATTTTTAATTTTTCTTCAATTACTTTTAAGCAGCACTAATGTACCGTATAATGGCGGTGAAAGAATATCTACTACCCCATCCCCATATTATCCCGTGGGTGTCGTAAGAGGCGAGAGAGGGAAAGAAATCAGGAGATGGGTTGCAGCATTTTAACGTCGTAACAGTAACGGTAGGTAAAGTATTCTAACACCAGAAACGTCAGGAACCATAGTTTTATACGATATTATAAAGGGTTTGATATTAAGTAAGATCGTAGGCAGGCTATTTCCGTTACCCAATACTTGGTTCCGGCTTAGATCGTGGTCAGTTTTTTTTTGACGGAATAGGGTGACAAGCGAGCACACAGTCCACCTGATGGCAAGTGGTTGCTGTGGCTCATTGACATCTACATCTATCCTCGTTTGCGACGTTATCACCCGTGAAGACTAAGATGGAATGCTTCGTTTCCAGTAAAAAGGGTCTCCGGTTCTCTACACTCACTATACGAAACACATCAGTTTTAATCTGCTATTTTACGCTGGTATTCTGTGAGAGCGTGGTCCCTCCCCGGTCGAGCCGACCCAATCGTGCTACAACTATACTACTCATATAGCTGCAGCATAGCTCTACCACGTAAAATAGTGAATGTTTTACGATCAACAGCCACTAACCATCCACTGCTGACTGGGCCTATTCAAACTTCATACCTATTCAAACTTAGGCTGCCATTTAGAAATTAAAAAAAGAAATACAAATGAAATTAAACAAATTTATAATTTACTTAACTAATTATATACAGACAATACAAGAAGAGAATTGATTAATTAGATTTAATTAAAGACAAGTTAAAGTTACAGCCTATATACCTCCTACTGCTGGGCACAGACTTCCTCGCATTTCTTAGATGGTCTTAAGGCAAGGTAGTGTCCGCTGCGCTCCCCCAATGCATGTTGACGCACTTCACATATCTTCGAACATTGAGTTATATGTACTGCGTACTAGAGAAGCTGTTCCAAACAACAATTGTGCGCTATACGAGTATGTCTTCGCGCATGCGCGGGAGATAGTAGAGTCGCGCAAGCGCGAAGACTTTAATTTAATATAAAATAAGATATTAATATAAAATAAATATAAGAATTTAATAAAAAATACTAATATAAAATATATACATATAAGAATTTAATATAAAATACTTTTATTTTAATCTAAAGAAACATATTTCTAAATAAAATGTAATAACATTGAGTTATATGTACTACGTACTAGAGAAGCCATTCCGAACATAGACTATGTTCAACTGAACTGTAGTGCAATCCATACAAACTAAATATTGCGTAAATTGAAGATTTGTGAATTCCATAAAATAATTATTATTACATTTTATTTAGAAATATAATATGTTTGTTTAGATTAAATTAAGATATTTTATATTGAATTCTTATATTTATTTTATATTAATATCTTATTTTCGAAGACATAGAGTAGGACACAATTTTTGTTTGGAATGGATTCTCTAGTAGGTAGTACATATAACTCAATGTGTAATAATAATTATGTTATGGAATTCACAAATCTTCAATTTACACAATATTTAGTTTAGTGTACGGATTGCAGTACAGTTCAGTTGAACATAGTCAATGTTTGGAATGCGAAATCTAGTGCGTACTACATAATATATATCGACGTCTTCGAAATATTATTTTTCTTATTTCTCAGACATGCATATTTCCTCACGATGTTTTCCTTCATCGTCGAGCACATGTTAAATCATCACTTAAAATTGCAATTAACAATTTCATCGGTGCCTGCAGTGATCGAACCCGAGTTGTCCGCGTACAGTGAAATTTACAGCGAGCGCTCAGCCCCTGAGCTACCACGGTTTTTATTTAAATAATTGTACAAACATATATAGGTCATTTTAACATTTATAAGCCCTAGTTTCCGTATGGTAAAGTCACAAATGCCTGGGTCTCTCCTATAACAGGTAAGATTTGCAATGTCCTATAACTAAACCTCGCTAGACTGTTCGATTTTCGATTTGCAATGAATTGGGTTAAATGCCTGAATTCTTCGATGTTTAAGAAAAAATAAATATCACAATAACTGTTACAAAATACAGTAAGATTCGAAAAATGTTTCTAATTGAATTGATCGAAAAATCGAACAATATTAGAAACATTTTTCGAATCTTACTGTATTTTTCTTTACAGACTAAATTAACAGTTATTGTGATATTTATTTTTACTTAAATATCAAAAAATTCAGACATGTAACCCGTTCTTGGGTCTTAATAAAGGGGTTATTTTTGTCAATTTGATGATGTTAGACAGTGAAGAAGCCCACATCTAGGCTGGATCTCCCTATATGTGTGGCAAATCCTCTCTAGCCCCTCCTGACCTCTTGCTAATCTGACATATGTCCGATCAATCCATATGTCAGATTGATGATTGCACTATCGGTTATGTATTGTACAAGTTTATTATTCCATCATATTCCGATGGGAAAATACGAGAATCTTTTAGATGTTTTCTCAAATCTCTTACGATATCTTTTAACCTTTTCGCTCTCCCGTTCGTCTCTCACTACATATAGGTCATTGCTATTGTGTCTTACTATTATATCTGAAAACCACAAAAAAAGTACAAGTCTGACGAATCTATATATTAATACGTGAAAGGAAAACTTTGTATCTCTTTTGCAACATATTATGCTCACGGAGAAGAGTGACATTTGGTATAGTTGAAGTGTATATGGAAAAGGAGTGCAGAAAGTTAAACTTTATATTTACTTACCTATAAATTTTATTAAAAAAATAAATAATCATTGTTTACGTCCACATACTGCAAATGTTAAATACGTAATAGTCTGTGGCTTGTTTACGTTCATCCTGCCATTGTAACACATTGGTATTATTGCTCTTGGAGTAAAAAAAAAAAAACTTAAGATAAGTAATTTTAAAATGTTGCCAATAAATAATTACTGACAGATTCTCTGAATGAGGTAGTGAATTTTGCGTAATTTCAAATGTTCCTTTTTCAATAGTATGTGGAGTGTATGTCAAGAAAAAATACTTTTTATTTTATATAATGTATATTAGATACCTTTGTTTTATATATTAATGTGCAGTTAAAAGTAAAATAGTACTTTTTTTTAAATATACAACTTTAAAAATTTTATAAATTAAAATCGAATTTTGACCTCTAGCTACAACCTACAGCTACATCTACAACCATTACTACATATAAAAAAGTTAAGGTGCACTTTTATGATATATTCTTTTAAACTACTGTATTACACAATATAGTAGTGGATAAGATCATCTATGCAATTACTTGGCGCAATTACCTTGAGCGTAATGACAAGCTTAATTTATGCCTAATGTGCCAATATTAAGTACCTATTGACCGTTGAAATTAGTTAAAGTTTATTTGATAGTGCACGGAACGAATCACAAATATGCGAAGGTGTGTGTGAGAACAAGAACTTGTATATATAAATCAAGAATTTATATTATGAATATCAATTCGAAATTGTCAACAGTAGGTAGGTAAATTAAAATAGTTTCTTTATTTTAATATTAATCACTCCAATAACGCTTAAAATGTTTACGTTGGGAATTGTTCACGACGGTATTCGAATGGTGGATTGGACACAACACTTTAGTTTCGTGGTATGCACAAGAATATGCTGCACAATTACCATATAGTGGCGGTGTAAGAATATCCACGACCCCAAATCGTCTAAACTTCGTACGACCAAGTAGTTTTACCCCCCACCCATATATGAATATATATGATATATTAAGTGTGGAATAAGAGTGTAGTCTAATGAAAGACCTAGGACAAGTAACACGTCTATGCTAAGTGTGGCAACTATGGCCAATATACCTTCTATGTGGCAATCTATGGGGAAGCTTAAGTTGACGCTTGATAGGCTGTAACGTTAACAAGTTATAGATATTCAAGTATTGATTGGTAGACATTCAAAAAGACTATCAACAATAGATATACTAAGGTGTTAGTATACTAAGTTTTTTTATACTAAGGTATTCTAAACTCAATTACCTTAAAGCTGACTTTTTTATAGAATATGGGTGACAAACGAGCGCACAATCCACCCGATGGTACGTGGATGTCTCGGCTCATAGACATCTACATCTATCCTTGATTAAGAATCTAAATACAGATGCCTCGTTTCCAGTACAAAAGGGTCTCCCGTTCTCTACACTCACCATACGAAACAGCAGCATTTAGCTACTTTTTTACGCTGTCGACCCATTCGTGCCGTAAACGTAATATACGAGTAGCTGCAGCGTGGCCATACAACTTGCACATCCGACCACCAATACCACGACATCGAGACATATTATTATTTTAGAAGACATACTATTGTCAGCGGAGGAGAGCTTGCAATAAGATGATAAAAATTTGTAATATTTTATATTTGTGGAATTTAATTAAAGCAGTTAAAACACATTTCTTTCGCTTGTAATAAAACATTAAAGTTTACGAAATTTGAAAAGGAAAATCAAACCACCGTGCACGAATGTAACATTTAATGGTATTATAAACTAAATGGTAGCATGCCGTGTGATGAAGTGAACTGAACCAGTTATTTAGTGAGGTCGGGAGAAAGTGCGCTGTTTAATATGTGGGGATAATTGGGACGGTGTTACGACATGAAAACTTGACTATATTTTGTACGACGATGCGAGAATTGAGAGACAGCGATAGAGCAGAGGAACGTGGTTCAATAACTTATCAATTATCTATTTTTATTTGTGCATGTGCATGCATGAATTATTTCAAGAAAGCGTGATGAGCTTGAGAGGTAAGCCTATACTCAGACAAACTGATTTCTTCTTAAAAACATAAACATAAGCACTCACGCCTGTCGCCCAAAGGAGTAGGCAGAGACTATGGAATTTCATTTGGCACGGTTCTGATATGCTTTTCTCGTTTCGCAAACATGCTCGTCATTTAAGGGTACTCTTGATTCAATATATCGCCAATTTGGTCGATAAACTTTCATCTAAGGCATCCCTTGCCGTCTCTGCCGTTCACATCTGCAACATAAATTAGATTTGATACTTTTTTCTCGTTCATTATTTCTATTTAACCAAACCAACGAAGCATTCCTTTCTTAAGCCTGTGGTCACAACATCGCCACACCTTTCTCAAATCACACAATTTTTCATCCTTCAGATTATTTCATTATTAAAGACCGCATTTCTACAGCATCTATTATACTCGCCACCAATATCACTAACATGTAAGTTAAATTACTTACTTACGTTGCTTCTTACTTTAACTTTACTTTTAATAAAATTAAAATTAATTATTAAAATACCTAATACCTAATAATTAAAATAAGATACCGAGCAGATGGCAGCACCCACCTTCTCTCCTTACTCCTTACTGTAATGGCGGGGATGGTCTTCTAGCAAATCAAACGCTTCACTACGTCCCATAGTGAGCCAGATCGATTCACAGACTTATAAGTTGGCTCAACACTTGGCAAAATTATGTCACCGCTGAGAGGACAAACCAGAGCACACACAAAGGATTCGAAACAATTTGTTAGTGAGATAAAAGACCTACATCTCGCTGATCTAAATCTGAATTAAAATAAGTAAATTTAACGCGATAAAATGGTTAAAAATAGTTTTAGTCAATATGTAGTGTTCGCGTAAATATAAGAAATCATTAAGTAAAGTTCGTGTACCGCCTATTGTTCGTCCCCCTGGGCACAAGCCTACTCTTAATTCCGTTAAGGTTTTAAGGCGTCTGCCGCGCTACAAAAATGCGTTTTAATATGAATTTAACGCAATAAAATCCGTAACAATGGTTTTATTAAACACATATTATTGATTTATGATAGAAACAAATAACTCTTAA